GATTATGCTACCCTAATCACCTAAAAGGACTAGACCTTATCCTGGTCATCATCGACCTTCTTCTCTCCCCCCCCCCCCGGGTCATCCGCAACACAGGATCCTGAATGGCAGTAGCAGACTTGCCAATTAATTTGGCTAATGCCTCACGCCAACCAACCACGCCCCAGGATCCTGCATTTTTAAGATCCTCAGCCAGACGGATATCGGCCTCCCAAACGGCCACTGCAACACTAACCTTTGTGTCGGAGATCACCTCCTTCATCTCGCTTACGAGCTCCTCCTCTCTTTCAGCCTTTTCCCTGGTAAGCAGCTCCACCCTCCTCAGAAGTTCCTCGTTGGTCGTCTTCCACATCTTCTCCTATCCCTGAAGGGCTTGTTCAGCCCTCTCCGCACGGATCCTTAGATCAGCGGAAACATGATCAGAGACATGTGATGAAATATGGTAAGTCAGCGAAAAACAAAATGAAAAATGGAGTGAAAATGAAATCAACAATTATAGTCTGAGAGAAAGAGACCAACTTTTGGAGCGCTTCCTCAGCTCCAAGGCTCTCCAGAGATAAACCTGTGGATTCAACATTTTTCCTTTTCCGGGATCCCCGAGTTTTCAATGTCAAATCCACAGTCGACCTTTTAAGAGGAATAGAGGACGAAGTATTCTCCTTCTTCACTACCAGTTGATCTCCTGACATAGCCGTATCAAGATCAACAAGAGTAAAGCGAGCACTGGAGCGAGTGACCTTGGATCCTGTGTACATCAAAGGATTATTAAAGATCCTCATTAGAAACAGGAAAAAATTAAGGATCCTTACCCGTCAACATGAGTTCTGTAGCGGAGGAGCTTTCCTGCGGGACGGCTTGATCGAATCGGAAGGATCTCTCGACTTCAGATAAGGCCAAGAACTTCTCAATATTCTCTTATGAATCCTCAGCAACGAGAACAAGTTCCTCGAACTTGAAGGCTGCAAAAAAACAAACAAAATAAGAATAAGATTCCAGGATCACAAGACAAAGCATTGAAATCCTACCCTTCTTGACCCAATCTGTGGGCAAGAGATCCCCATTGGGAACAGAGTCGCGCCTCAAAAAGAGGTATCTCCCTTTCCAAGCTCCATCATTGTGCTTGGTTTTCAAAATTAGAGAAGATCTGAGGGTTTTGACCTTAAGAAGGAAACGAGAATTCCCAAAGGTTTTCAGATCGTATATACAGGCCAACTCAGAAAGGCCTATGTCAAGACCTTGTGATTGATTTATCTGGTCGACCCAATATAAGATCCTCTAGACAATTGGCATGGCCTGGATATACGAAATCCCAGTCGCCCTAAAAAATTTAGAGACGATCCCGAGAAAAGGATATCTCAAGCCTAAGGAGAAAGGATACTTTGGGAAGCCCACCCAAGTGGAAGAGAAGAAATCGGGTTGAATCAGAGGATCGAAGGGCCTAAAAACATCACTGGGAGGAAAATCCCCATTGAGTTTTACAGACTCGATGTCGTCATCGCCAAAAGAGCAGGTCTCCGCATAAGAGAGAATCCCCTGGTCAATAAAATCGTCGTCGGGAAGGGCCAAGATGCTCTTACGAGAGACAACCATTTTTTGACCCATGGTAGAGAGATTAAAAGCCTGGAAGAAAAATTACCTTCTAAATCGCAAGACGGCACAAGAAAAGCAAAGAAGAACGGATAGGAGAATATGAAACTGATCCCTCATATTTATACTGGGCCGGTAGATATGATTTGACTTCTAACGGCTAGTAAACTATCCGTTGGAATTTAAATCACCTAGCCGTTATAGGTTAAAACTAAAAATTACTATTATCTCTCATTTTACCTATTTACTTTAAGTTATTCCTTTCATATTTACAAAACTAACCCCGATATTTTCAGGAATAACTTGGGGGAAATTGTTAGGGCCAGGATCCTTACGATATTTAGGATCCTCAAATATCCAGTATCCTCAGCTACATCAGGATCCCGACTAATTACCGTTATTATTTTTATCAATATTTATAACGGTCATATTTTGTCTATAACTAACACGTGTGCAGAAGTAGTCATAGGAAGACCAATTCTCAACGAAGAATCATCTCAACTATGCTAAAGACCCAGAATACTTGGTCAAATAATGTTCATGAAGTTGGTCATAGAGGATCCCGGAAATATCGGACATCTTGTTGGCTGGATTAGACTATAAATTGACACTTGTAATCTGCACACAACACACCATTCTTTAGCTTAAGCTTACTCTACGAAATTCTCTACTTATTCTTACTAAGAACTCACTGTAATCTCATCAAAGCAGGTGATCATTATCACCTTCCAAGGTTTTATGTCGGAGATCCTAGTAAGGGTCAAGGGCTTTCCTTGTAAACTAGTGTGTCACTTTCTTTTACCACTTGCTATTACACAATCTGAACATCACAGCCTCTCATTCAATTTGGTTGATTAGTACTTGTGTAATTTTTGACCAAAACATTTCTTAAAACTAAATTTTTGAGACAAGATCTAGGAACACTTAAGTTTTCTTGGTGTTGAAGTTATTGATATTGAGCGTGTGTTTGTCTTAACCAACGGAAATATTGTCTTGAGTTGTTGCATGAATTTGGAATGCTTGGATGCAAACCTATCAAGACTCCCTTGAAGGTTAATTTTGTTTCTAGTCATGAGTGTGATGAAAATATTAGAAAATATTTCAGAATTTCAAAAATTAATTGGTAAATTAATTTATCTCACTGTTACATGTCCAAATATATCTTATTCTGTTCAGATCCTAAGTCAGTTTATGCATAAACCGCGTAATAGTCATTTAGATATTGCCTTCAGGTTGGTTACATATTTAAAAAGTAATCCTGGTAGAAGCATTTCAATAACAAAGTCAAACTAATTTTGATCTTGTTGGTTTTGTTGACGCTGATTGGGCTAATTGTCTTGTTTCAAGAAGGCCTGTTACTGGATATTTTGTATATTTGGGTAATTGTTTGATTTTTTGGAAGAGTAAAAAACAATCCACAGTTTCTCGATCCTCTACTAAATCTGAGTATAGGGATTTAGGTTCGATGACCTGTGAGATTGTTTGGGTTTTAAAAGTTTTGTATGATTTGGGTCTTAAAAATTTAGCTCCTGTTAATGTTTTCTGTGACAATGATTCTGCTATTAAGTTACCCTAAATCCTATTTTTCATGAAAAAACTAAGTCACTAATGGAACTTTGAAAATTGTGAAATAGATTCAGCCAATCAGAATGTTGACATTTTGACTAAATCTTTAGTCAGTTCACAACATGAGTTTTTTTGGTTAATAAAATTGGTTTAATCGATCCTTTTTCAAAATAAAAGTTTTTTTTAAATATTAAGTTTAAGGAGGGATGTTAAAAGTATAGATAAGTTGATCAAACTTAACATTTGTAAAAGTTAGAGGGTTGGTTTGTAATATTTTTATATTGTGTTTCTGTCATATTTTTATTGTTTGGGTATATATTGTATTATTGCAAGTTTTGGTGGACTGGGACTCATTTAATCAGAAGATTCTTGTTTATGGCGCGGGTCATTGTGCTACATGGTTGGTATCCGTACTCGGCGTATATAATATGTAAGTGTTGTTCAGATGTGTAGATTACATCTCCACTAACACACAGTTAGGTTTACACTCATCGTTTTTTCTCAATTAGGTTTTCCTTTGTTTGAGTTCTCGCATTGTAGTTCATATTCTGGAGAGTAGATTAGGTGAGTGTAGAATAAGTTGATTGTAGTGAGCTTTATGTTGTAAGTTCTTGCAAAACAATCTGGTTCTTAATTAGTAATAAAATAGCTGATTATGTTGGGATGTGATTGTGTACTTTCTAAGACTTATAAACGTAAGATGGTACATGTCTAAAAAGAGAAAAAACTACTTATAATTATATAGGCAATAGTATAACTATTAACTAAAAAAGTAAAGGATCCAACCAATCAATCTTTTCCACATGTTTTGTTTACTTATAGTACACATTATACATGACTATTGCAAAAAAAAATTGTTTTTTATATGTTTAGGGCCCAGTTTTTATTGAATAAAAATTTAAATAGATCAAAATTAATAATTTCGTATGATCCATAAAAAACATTCATATTGATATAATTTTATTTTTCTATAATTTAGTTTGTTGAGATTCCAAATATAAATATGAATTATCGTTATCATTCAAAATGTAAATTTACCATATGATGCTAATATGTGTACATATGAGTAAATTTGAATATGAATCAGAGTAAATTCACATATCAATTTTATTAAATTGAATTATTAATAATCAAGATGTTGAAATTAAAATAGAAACTATAATTGAAGTAATCCCATGTCAATTTACTAGATTTACATTTAAAATGAAATATTTATTTGAATTCATATGTAAATATACAATATAAATATACAAGTTAATTAATTTGTGTATCATATTAGACTCAATATAAGTTTATAACAAATATTAGATGGATAAAGAATAATGTTTTTGAATTGTTACGATAACTAATATTTTAAAATGAAAAGACAATTTTACCCTCATTCGAGGGACACATGAGGTCTGTTGTTAACGGTAGGAGTTAACAAGTGCTATCTTCATAGACCAAAACCACTATAAAACATGATTTTAAGGACCAAAATTGCAAGTTGAAAAGTCAAATCCAAAAAAAGAAAAGGAAACCATGGGTATAAAATTTGCAATTTTGCTATTGTTTTATATATTTTTATTTTATTAATCAGCGATAAATAAGTGTTTTAGACCATAAATAAAAATTTTCATTAAAACTTTAGTATAATAGACACATATTAAGCTTTTTCGTTGTTAATTAGTTGATATTGATACATTAATACGAATGCCTTAGCAAAAAGAACCTCAAAATCTAACATAAAACACAAATAGTAAATGAAACACTAAAAAGCTTTCGAACTTTCTAAATAAAGAAACCCACATATAGACACACAAACTTTCTAAATAAAGAAACACACATATAGACACACACTTACTCACTCACTCGGCGGTTCCTTCAGGAATTTCTGGGAGCTTATTGAACACACGAGCACAACTATACACAGAGCACACAGCTTGTATAGTCGTCAAGAACAACATAGACATACCAGCCAACAAAGTGAGAAGCTTCCACGATGCAAACACATATTTCTTCATGAACCTCGACAATTTCACCCTCCATGTTTTCGAATACCTTTTGTTCACATCTTCGATCACCTTATCCATTTTGGGAACTTTGGTTAATTTCACAGATTTGCTCATGCCATTCCATAAATCTGCAACATCTTTGTCACTCTTCAAATGGTTTTGAACTATGCCTCTTTCACTCAAAAGCTTTGCGTCTTCTTCAGTATCAATTATTCCGTTCATTAGCTCAGTGTAACGAGCGACAACCAATGGCCCCGCTGCAACACAGGCTTCGTATGCTACCAAGTTTCTCAAATAAACTTCTGTGTGTACGTCCAGAATGACTACTGGGAGGTACAATGTAGATGTTTTGATATCGAAACTAATGCCAAAGATTCCGTCTTTAACAGGTGAGAAAAGGATCCCAGCCGTGGCCATTTGGGTGACTGATGGGATCTTAATTTCCTCTATTAATGGAACATTGGAATCATTATCGTCTTTTGATTTCTCCTCTCCTCCACCACGAATGTTTTGAACCATCTTTTCTATGGGTTCTTTAATTAGCTTGAACATCGGAATGTTTGACAACACCTTCAATGGTAGTTTCATCATGACTGTGACTGGTTTCATGAAAATTAGCTTCTTGAAAATCCTCAAAAGACTTGCATTTGATTTGGAAACGATTTTCCAGATAAAATCCTTGAAATGTTGAAGATCACCGGGCTTTGCAAAAGACTCTTCTTGACCAGCATCATCGGCATCCTCAGTGATACCTTCATAGTCTATTTCAATGGATTCAATATGGAGTTCTTTGTTGTTTGGCACAGTCATGTGGTAAAGAAAGTCGAGGAGGTGATCACAGTCGTCGATATCAATATCAGGCAACTCTTTTTCTTTAAATGGAGAAAGCTCATGGTACAATCCCATCAACATGGACTTCAACGTCTCTGCTGCAGACTTGTTTTCATCATCTCGAATCTGATTCTCCACCATCGTCTTCATCAGAAACAATGGGATCTGGTTCTCCACCATAACCAAATCACGAAGAATCGCCATCTGCGACATTTTATTCCCGGAAGTATCCACCAAATTATGAGAAACCGAGGATGTACAATTTTCTACTGATGACCGACCTTGTTCTTTAACGGAATACACGCGAATGAACTCCAGTAAAAACGCCATGTCAACAGCTAGAATCCAAACCAATACCTCTCCAGACATATCAAGAAACTTATGGTAGCAAGCACGGATTCGAGCCTCATCTTGTTTCCTCATCTCCTCCACCATTTGTTCGAAGCTTGTATTCATGAACTTCTGGGTACGCCGTGCTGCTTCAAGCTTGTACCTTTGCATGTCGTATACCTCCTCGCGCCAATGGTGGAAAGGACCTAACGCGACTTGTTGTGGAATGTAGGAATCAGGATCGGTAGCAAGGAGTACTTTAGGGACACTAAATATACAAACGGGGAATTTAGATATTTCTTCATTATCGGGTTCGGCAATGGATTTACGCATGCTTTTAACCCATCCTTCCTGATCGATATTGGACTTGTTAAAAGAAGACGAATTGGAGAAGTTGCGCGATGAGGTTTCCATGATGGGAGTGGAGTTGAAGATGAGAATGTTGAATGGCATATATGGCCATATGAATGATCATATATAATATACGTTTAAACAATAAAAAAAATATATACAAAATAAAAGATATTACATTATTAAACCATGCTATGAACCATGGGAACCAGCCGTTGCTAATTTAATTAGTTATTTTGTTTCTTTATAAAAATTAACCAAACATATCAAAATTAACCATTTTTATACGTTGCAATTAAAGATCAAAATCCGTATTTTACAAGCAAACAACATATGTTATATCATCTACAATTTATTGATCATAATTTTTGAATAAACTATGAATACGATAACATAATATTTCATCTTAAAAATAGATTAATATTAATATGTAATTTTTAATATTATAAAATAAATAAAAATCCATGTCATTTATACAATAAACAAGTTACGTAAATTAAAAAAAATGAAAAAAAAATATGATTATCAACTTATGAACTAAAAAACCTATGAAAAGATAACTGACCAAGTAAAAAATTTAAAAACTAAAAAAACATGAAAATATAATAATTTCTAACTTTTGTTTTAAAAATACACATGTGACTCACAAAAGTAGATATTACAATTTTAAAAACAAAGTTAAATTTTTTATTTATGCCCTTTTTTTAATTAATGTTATTTTTAAAACACTACATATAATTCTTTACCCTATAACCACATTAACCTTTTTTTAAGAACTTGCAATTGTACTTTGATAGTACAATTTTTTATATTCATCTTCTACTTACGTACCAATATCTATCTTTTGCAACGTCTTAAGAAAGTTATATATTGCTTTTGCCTCTTTTTACCATCCAAACGATGGGCCACACGTTATCGAGGATGATAAATCTCCATCGATGGGCGTTAACGTGATAGTATAGAAAAACATTGCATTACACTTGATATGAAGGTCGGTGCATATTTATTGGACAACCTTTTCAATTATAATGAATCATTTTTAAATTATAAACCCACGATGGAACTTGTCTAAAAGATGACAATTACTTGTAATTTATATTGGCAAAAGTTATAAGTATTAAATATAAAGGTCAAAAATCCAACTAATCGATTTTTCCTCATGTTTGTTTTATTTATAGTAGATGTTCAAACATAAGATTATTGAAAATATATATATATTTGTTTGTTTCTTTTTATATGTTTAGGGATTAACTTTTATTGAAAAAAAAATTAAATAAATCAAAATTAATAATTTGGTATATCCATGAAAAGACATTTATATAGATAAAAAAAAATTCAGTATTTCAGCTCGTTAAGATTTCAAAATATGAATCTAAATTATATATAATTTAGTTATTGTCATTCAAAATATGGTCTTACCATATGATACTCATATGTATACATCTAAGTAAATTTATATATGAAATTTAAATAAATTCACTTGAAATTTTATTAAATTCATTTATTTGTAGTAAAAATGTTGAAATAATAAAATATTTAATTAAAATAATCACATATACGTTTACCTAAATTTACATTTAAATGGAATATTTATTCGGATTCATGATGTGGATATGAGTTAATTTACTTGTGTATCCTATTAAAATCAATTTAAATTTATAACCATTAGTAATGGATAAGGATGAATACTCTTAAAAATTCTCAAAATGATCTAGAATGATCATTAGAAAATGTATATTAGGGTTAAGGACATGTCCATTTCATTTTTGAATGAAAAATCGTCCTTATGATTCAGTTAAAAATTACATATCTAGTCCTTAAAATAATAGGACCATTCGACAACGGTTTAAAAAAAATCTTAAAACTAATCAAATCCCCCTTCTCCCACGTTTCACCCCGATTTTTTCCTCACTCTCCATGATCAATCCACTAATTCGACTTGCCAAGAAATCCTTTTGTTCATCGACCCTTCTTTTTGAGGAAGATCACGAGTCACCATCGTCCCCAACGGCGACGGACCCTTGTTCGATTGCAAATAATTCATGTAATGAGTCTTCAATTGAACTTCAGAACCGTCTTTTGTCATCACCGGAACCCATTAAAGCGCATAAATCCATTTCCCTATAACAAAACAATCATCGACGATTGGGATCAGATTATCAGGGATAAGATTTTTTAGCCTGGTTTAGGTAACTTTGAGATATCAAGATCGCATTCCTGGAGAAGGTTTGTTTGATGCAGTTAGGTATTTCCTGAAGCACTTATTAATGATATGCAATCTTCATCGATGATTTCCACGACATTCCTCCTTCCCGTCACCATCACCGCCGCCCAAACTCAAAATCCAACACCACCGACACCCCCACCAGCATCTGATTCCTGCAATGACGTCTACTTATCCCACACTTACACGTCCGGATCCAGGCTCCCACAAAACTGAACATCAAATCAACCCTACCGCTTCGAATAACCTCTATGAGTCCTCAATAACGCCGACAAAGAGCTTAAATCGTGGAGGGTGTTTGTTGGTTTTTAGCATGATGAGTACATATTATATGCTTCTAATGACGTGATTGTTGATGGGTCTTCTACTTTTCCTGGTTCGGTTGGAAATGGCACTGTTTTTGTTGGGTTTCCAAGTGTTGATCTCAAGACTGGTATTGAAACTGTTGGTGATGTAAATCAAATGTCGGTTCAAGTTGATTTTGTGGGTTCGTAGTTTGGAGTCGACTCGTCCGCTGTTCATATGCCTTCAAATATTTCTCTAGCTAAAGATGGGTTTGTTTTCCCTAGACCTACTATGCAAGGTAAAATTCACTTTATTTATGATTCACTACATTACTATAGCTTACCATGGATGAAAAGGATTATGATCAGAGATTCCTCTATTTGTTAATTTATAATAAGATATTTGATTTCGATGTATATTATTTGACTAGATCAGTGTAGCGTTCTTATGAAAGATCTAGTATGATCAAAAATCATATTAAAGTGGTATTTCTAATTAGCATATGATACTAATGGGTCACACTAACAACAACTTGATACAATTGATTATTTATTAGAAATTGATTTTAATAAATATTCAATAAACTCTTATAATTAATTGGAAATTATTTATTTCATGTAAATATTAATTTTCATTAGCAAGTAACATAATATATATCATATGGTATGATTCATTAAGTCATGTACATTATTTTGGACTACAAAGACTCTTTTGTCTTTTAGCTAAAAGTTAAATTTTATATCTTATAAAGAGTTATAAGAGTTTTATAAACTTCTCTTCTCTTTTATTTATAAAAAAAGATGAGCTAGTTTCTAGGAAACAAGACATGCTCTTTTAAATATAATAAGATAAAGTAAGCATGACTTAAAAAGAATGGGAGACATGTAGGCTTTAGGATATGTAGTGCTTAAAGTGTTAATAACCCTTGGGTAATGATTTAGCTTTATGAAGGCTTTCATCCCTTCAATTTTACTCACCAAAACCGTAACTCCCTCATATTCTTTCATATTCTATCCTGCAAAGAAGTGTTAGAAGATTACTTGATTGCATTTTGCTCTCTTTAAGTCATATTTGGATATGGACTTAAAGCTTAAGAGTTTTGACTAGCATCTACATCAAGTTGGCTTCATGTTGGTGACTCAAAGGTTCAACATTCTTCATCAACCTCCAATCCTCCTAAGAGGACCCAAAGAACAACAAAGGTTGTTAAACTCTTCTTCTTCTTTGGTGCTTGTTTTCTTTCCAAACTTTTCAAGAAGATCCATGGTTGGTTATAACTAGTTTATAATTGTTCAAAAATACTCAAGTCTTCCGTTGCTAAAAATCATGTTTTTGAAACTAATTTTTGAATAAAAACTCAACCATTGGTATCAGAGACACCTTGTAAGTTTGGTTAGATTTTTTGATTTTTGGAAATCTTAGTTTTTGGAGAATATGGATAACTTGTTTTTGTATAAAAATAAGTTCATACATATTTTCTTTGATAACTTTTTTATGTGACAAAAGTTTCATGCATATTTTGTCATTTAAAGTTGTCTTAGAAAAACAAAGGTTGTTTTATATATGTGTTGATATGTATGATATGCATAAACTAGCCAAGGACCAATGTATTGTTATGTTGTTGTGTTGCTTATTTTTGTTATAAAATGGTTGTAATAATTTATTATGACAAAACTTCAAAAATGGTCCCTGTGGTTTCCGGAAATCTGAAGTTTCGTCTCTAATTTTAAAAAACCTTACAGATGGTCAATGTGGTTTCAAAACTTTTAACAAATGGTCCTTTTCGTTAACTCCGTTAGCTTTTGGCCGTTAAGTGAAGGGCATTTCTGTCATTTCACTACTACATGGACCATTTATGAAGTTTTGCCTTATTTTTTTATTAGAAAGAGAAAAAAAATATAATTATTTAATATTAAAGGGTCCCACCATCTCTCTCTCTCTCTCTCTCTCTCTCTCAAACCCTTGAAAAACTCTCTTCTAATTGCTACAAAATTTATAGGCACACGATATTAAGCAGTTGTTCGTTCATAAAAGGCTCATCCACCCTCAGTGTGTTCATTCAAGCAAGTTCATAACGATTCAACTTGTCCAAATCCCAATCTGGTAATTCACAGGTTTCGTTATCTTTAAATCCACATAGCTAGAAATCATCAAGATCACCAAATAAGTCAAGTGGTGAAGCAAAATGGTCAAAGAAAATGGAATCCAACTCTAATTTCATATCTCACTCTCTCAAAAACACATACAAAAACTTAAACATCTATCTCTACCATGTTCATCTTCATCTGATCATCATCTTCGTTATGATGAAGCTGTGAAACAAGAAACAACCAGCTTGGGGTGTGAACAGATTGATGTCATTGAGGCATTTCCACAAACAGTTGGTGTGCAACTTAAGAAAATCACCATGAAATCTTTCTTTTTTACTTCTAACTGAAATCCAAATTGGAGCTGAACTCAATACACACAGATGTATAATCAAAGAAAATGAAAATATACACATAAACTAATAATCTAAAAACAGATGGCACCACATAGCAACTAAGCTTAGGTG